CTGGTTTAGAGCGTGGACGGAGAAATAGGTTTGAATTTCGAATTTCGTCGATCGTTGAGTATCGGCAAATGTCGTAATCTTCGCGAAGATTCACGTGGGAACGTCGTCCGCGAGAACGTGGCTGTTAAACGAACGTCCAGCGATCGATGCTCAAACATTTGCGTATCCGACGAGCGGCAAACACGTCTCGGGTTACGATTCGTGGATCCGAGAGTCGATCGCAGTAACGATCGCTGGTGTAGTGGCCGGCGTGAAGAGCACCGGCTCGCGTTTCATCGTCCGCGAATAAAGGATAACGATGATGTGGGCGGGAAACATCTGTGAAGTGGTCACGAGGCGGAAAAGCGTTGGCATTCGGTGGAGATCAACGATGTCTCGGTCAAGTTGGGGTTTCTGAAATTTGATTTTTGGTATATTTGAAGTTTCAGTTTAAAATTTCGGATTTTTTGCGAGTATGGGTTTCTAGAATTCGGATTTTAGGGACTAGGGGTTTCTAGAATTCGAATTTTAGTGGGTATGGGTCTCTGGAATTCAATTTTTTGGTAGATTTGAAGTTTCACTTTGAAATTTAAGATTTCAGTAGGTCTAACAGGTTAAGTTCGGGTTTCTATAACTAAGGTTTTAATTAGATTTTCATTTAGAAGTTAGTTAGGTCTGGATTCCTAGAATTGTTTTTAATTAGGTTTTAATATTTAGTTTGAAATTTAGGACTTAGATCTAATAAGTTAGATTTAGGTTTCTAGAATTTAGTTTTGATTTTGATTAGAATCTTCAAGATTGAAATTTAGGATTTAATTAAGTCCGGATTTATAGTTTTCAATTAGATTTGAGTTTTCAGTTTGAAACTTGGGATTTAACAGACCAAACAATTAAAAGATCAAAGTCTTTCGAGGTAGGTTACATTGATTTAACAAGAAGAAATTACCGAAAACCTACGAGGATCTACACAGCCCTTCACCAAAGGTGGAACGTTTCTTCTATTGAAATCGAGTAAAGCTGCCCCGAAAAGGACTCCGAATTCATTATCCTTCATTCGAAGAAAGATTTCCTTTGATACGCGAGCAGTTAGTTCCGCGCGAGCAAGAATTCCCATGAATTTCTAAACAGACGCCGATGTTCGAATCCTGATACCTCTGGGATGATCGATTGCACGTGACAGACTTCCACTTCGATCTGAATAAAGCATGAGGAGTGGGCAATCCTGCAAAGAGGACAGAGAAAAGAAATTCTAATATCGAATGGCCGCCTGCAATACTAGTTGTATTGGGAAAAACGTTATTTTTGCTAATTATATCGATCATAGGAAGAGCATAATTAAAAAATGTCGAATGTATCGCAACACAGTATTGATTAACGCACAAATAAAGAATGTTTAAATATGACTCAGCACATCATTAGATCACTACTAAATAATTACAGTTTCAGAGCTTCGACTCGTGAAGATTAAATCTTAGTATAGACTTTACATTATCCATTACTAAAGCACTTTTCATTACTTCATCTTCGTTCTACATAATTAAACATTCCTTTGTAACCCCATATTATACGAACAAAGTTTCGTAACAATTCTCCTTTGAAACTTTCAATTACTCAAGATTGCAATTATCTTTGCATCAACCTTGTAACATGTATATGAATAATAAATAAATAAAATTTATATTTAGTCACATTCGATAAATGAGTACAATACATATCTAATTCTAAATATCAAAGAATTGGAGAAAAATATATGTGAAGCTATTACTTGCAACCCTGTACATGTGTGTGCAAATACCGCATTAATATCAAATCAATCACCTAATCTAAATGAAAAAGGCATGCAGATTGACTCACAATTCAATTTCCATATGAGTAAATTACTTTCTTCAGTTACTTATTAAAGAGACATCTGTTATTTTATCAGTTGTAAAAGAAAAATTCAATAATATGTCATTTTAATCCATCTAGTAACTCTAATTTATTAAACGCTGGCTCGTTTCACCATTATCATATTGTATATCAACGAAAACCTTCCATTTCTTCTTATTTCAAGAAACTAGCAAAACGTAAATATTAACACTAAAACTACCGAATGATTCAAAATGACCCATTCGTGATTTCTTCTTTTACAATTGTTGAAAAGATAACAAATGCTTCTTTGAGAAAGTATTGAGGAAATTGATTTAGTAACACACAAAGTGAATTATAATCGAAATCCGAATAGATATACTCTTAGAGTTTCTGTAGACAAACTTTAAAAAGTCAACTTGACTGCTCAGTAGTTTAGTGCTAAATGCTTCCCAATGAACCAAACATTCCTCTTCTGATTTGCTGCTCATACATCACGCGAGTGTTGAGTGTAGAGTTCGTACGAAGTCTGTTTCTCGAGGATATCGGATATTTCCATGCGGTTTCCACGAATTTCGCGTACTCGCCGATGAGGAAGAAACTGGGGCAGACTGGGGGTCGTACCGACAAAAAAAGATTATCGGCAGGAGACGTTGCTAGAAGCTCGGTCTGGGGTCCGGAGCTTTTTAAAGACCGCCTCGAGAGTAGTTTGATATCGGATTTATCTGCCGGGGGTCGGCTCGTTCTTGCGGGATCGAGATTATCGGATGAACAACCCAGAGGGGATCTTATTACTCGGTCACCTTCGTAATGAGTCTTCGTCGCCCAAACGATGTCTGTCGCGAATAATCAATCCGTATTCGTGGAAGCTGCATCTTTGTAGCTCTGCCAGGTGATTTCTGTTATTTTCTTTGGATTCTTTGATTTTGTTAAGAGGTGTAGTTCGACATTAGATTAACTTCGAATTGACATTAGAAATGGTTCATGAGGTATATGCTACGCGGTGAAAATTTTATATTCTCGATATTTCATAATGTCTTGAGTACTTTCGGTTTCTTTCTTGTTTCTTCTCTTTTTCTTCTCTTTTCCTTTTCTTCTTTGTTTCATTTCTTCCCATTCTCTTCCTTCTCCTTTTCTTCTTTTGTCTTTTCGTTTTCCTTTTTATACTCTCTTTCTTCCTTTTCCTTTTCTTTTTCTTTCCTTTTAATTTTTTTACCACTTTTCCTGACAAAGAAACCCGGAATGCTTAACAAGACAATCGAAACACTTCCATAATTCAAGAACCTTATTTTCCATACTTCCTACATTCCTCCAAATTCTTCTTTTTTTGACGGCTTGCCTTCAAAGAGCTTGCCAGACTGAAATTTGGAATGTTAGATGAGACAAGATAAATACTGCCACGAGGCGGGAATCCTTACGACCCAGCCGCAAACTCGTAAACCAGAGACGCAAATTGGAAGGTTGAAGTTTCCCTTTGCAAGTCCCGCGATTCGGTAGACCGTGCGCGCGCACAGGCGAGTGCATTTTCATACCGTTAATAATTCTGCATGTTACACCTTGCTGCACTGCGAGTCTCGGCGTCATTTTTCGTGTAGACTTTCCGCACCGCAATGCATCATTTAGTAGGCTAGGGTGGTTCGTTCTCTCAGTTTTCGTTGCAGTTATGCACAGGAAATATAAACGTGATTTTGGATTCTCTAATCAATTTCAATGTTGTAAAGGCAAAGGACAAAGACAAAGGTTATGGCTTTGTAAAGAAAACAGAGTATTTTGAGACTCTGAAGAGAAAACATGTTATCGTACACCTAGCTTCATAATCCTGCTTTCATCCCTCGCACTTTGTCGCAATGTTTTTCAACGCATAATTTCATGCTTTAACGCAGCGACAAGTTGTTCATTTTCAGATGAGATATCTCCATAGTTCTTCATAAATAAAATTAGAGCATCCCAGATATTATGTAGTATTACATGAACCTTATACTTAGCTTTACATAACGAAGGCAATATTAGTAAAATTTGGAGAGAACGTTGGTTACATAAATAAGGTAAATTATTCTTCCTTGACTGGGATACAATGAAAGGACACGAGACAAATTGGGCAATTATATTTCGAAAAAGACAAGAACTCGTTCGAGCTATTGTTTGCCGGTGAACTCGTAACGCGGTTACCCGAAGTCTGCTCTCAGCAAGGTCAGCGCTAGCGTCCGTTAAATTACACGTGTGATTCAATCGAACCGTTCAAACAATCGATCCAGCTCGTGACATGCAGCGTGTCAGGGCACCTCAATTAAAAGTGTCGATTTTGAACCGTTGTTGACCGTTTGAGTGCCAGACGGCGCGATCGTACTTTTTCTGTGTAAATTTAAGTAAATTTAATTACTTTTTTCAATTTCCTTTGAGCTTTGGACTTTTAGAAAGAAAAACTTTTGAGCCTCGAGCATTCAAAGAGAGAAAATTTCGAGTTTGTAGTGTCAAAAATAAAAATTATCGAACATTGAATTCTCGAAAATAAAAATTCTTGAACTTTGAAATTTCATATAGAAAGACTTTAAAGAATTTTCGCAAGAAAAGTTCTCAAACTTTGAATTCTCAAGAATAAAAACTCCCGAGCTTTAAATTTTCAAAAAGCTCTCGAAATTCAGATTCTTGTAAAAAAACTCGTGCTTTGTATTTTCGCAAACAAAATTCTTTGTGTTTTAGATGTTCGCAAAGAAAGGCTTTCGAGTGCTGAATTCTCGGAAACAGAAGCATTCGAATATTAAATTCTCAAAAATAAAATCTCTCAACCTCGGAATTCCTAAAGATAGAAGCTTCCAAGCTTTTTTCGAAAAGGAACTTTTAAGCTTTCGAACTTTAATTTCGAATTTCTATAAAGATACGCGTAACACTCAAACGATCGACAAGCAATAGCACAACAACATTTACACATTTTTTATATGTCCACGAATCTAGCAGAAGATCCTTTCGAGGACCGTGGATCCGATTGAAGGATCATTAATCGATCGACCGAGCAACAAGTTCACAGACGTCGCGATGGGACAGAAGACCGCCAGCGTGGGTAGTTGAAATCGGAACTCGGTGTTTCGGAACTTGGAACCGGAAACGAAGCCGCGACCATCTTGCGTCGTTTGCTGGCGGGTCTCTGCGGCCGCGACGGGACCACCGGAGGCGAGATGACCGAGGACGAGAGGCACGCGGAACCGGAAGCCACGGGAATCCCGGCGGACGCCGGCGAACGTCAAGTTTCCCTCTACCCTATCACGGTACGAGAATTACTCTGGAAATAAGATTAACCCTCGGTTGAACGGGGACGAATTTTTCTTTTATTTAGCACTGTTAATCTGTGGGGACGATTATCAAATGGATGACGAGATAACTCGTCGCGAATAATGAACGAAGGAATGAATAGTGTGTAGTCTAGGCAGTTTTCTTTATGTTGTTTTCTGTTGTAAAATGGAAAGAGAAACTTGTGGCACTTGCGTATTATACGGACTACTTCTGTCTCTTAACTGGAAATTGCATTTGTCAGTTAGTAATTACTTAATATTGAATATAGTAAATTTAATATTAAATTAATTGTAATATTAAATATTAAATGTTGAATATTAAATATAATAAAACAATATATTACAATATTACAATATATTATTTCCTTTATTGTTAAATAAATTATTAAATATAATAAAATAATGTATTACATGCTTGACTTATTACATTTGTTGTTGACAAATGACAATTGACACGAACTGGTCTTTCAAAACATGTATTTACATTTGCATAAACGTTCGCAGTTAAATGATAATTAACTTGATACCGGAGTGTTTTTCAGAATTGTTAATTGCCGTTGACCTACAATCGCGAGCGAGGTAATTACATCGGGCTGCGACGAATAATTATAAGAACAGAGTTGTAATCGAATAAAAAGTTGTAATTTTAATCGTAATTAGCGACGGGAAAGCGGATTGCGTTTCGACCGACTTTCCCATCGTTTGTTTTGAAAATGGATGTCCAAATCAGAAAGTAACAAGTATACAAATTAAATAACTCGAGTAAAAAAGAAACATTTAATAATAGAAAGACGATGTAAAATTGTAACCAAAGTACTTCAAAACAACTTGAAAATTTTTATTTAAAATTCTGCATTTTCCTTCGCTCATTTAACTACATCAATTCCTATATTGTTCAATTAATCAGTTTTTCAATGTTTGTCTTTCCTTTCGTTTTTATTTCCACTAAAAAAAATTTGTCATTGAACTTGTTCATTTTATAGGCAATCATTCGACTGGTTACGGTAGGACTAAGTATATACAAAGTGCTTGTACAGTTACTGCTAACGAATTAACTGCCACTAACTCCGATCGGAGTGTGCTTTTTTAATATTACAAAGACAATAAATTATTCTTCAAATTAAATAAAGGCATTAAATACTCCATTGCTACATTATTTTCAACAGAAAATATTGGGAGAAACAATGTTAAATGAAAATATCACTGGCAGTCAACCTGTTAACCCTTTACGCTCGTATATCGTGTTCAAGATGACAATACAAATTTGTTATAGAACGTTGCAAATTGTTTGAAAAAGCACCACACTTTAAAAGATTATAAAAATTCAATTTTATTATAATAATAATAAATAAAATAAATATAAAACGTTGAACTCTACCGCTGTAAATTACTTTAATTCATTTCCTTAAAAATGAATATAAATTTACACCGAACAGCATTGAAAATAAATCGAGTGCAAACGGTTAAGCCACTCTCAAAATGAACAGCTCGATATACTGACGCAACAAACGCAGTAATAGCTTAAGTTTTTGTATGTCCCGTCACAGGTGGAGGGAAGGAAGTGCGGTGACGAGACGAGGCACGAAGCGGGGGACAAAGACTCGTCGAAAACCGGCAAGAAGGAGAACCAAGCCCAGAGATTACAGCCGACCCAATCGTTGCCGCAACTGCAGCCTGCCGACACGCAAGCCGACAGGTGAGCACGCGATCCTCTTCCAACACGGCCTCGCGACTTTTCCGACGCGATATACGACCGCGGCCGCGCCCAGTTCGAACTCTGTGTGCGTCAAATGAAAGTACATTTTACATTAAGAAGGAAAATAAAAGATCTAAGAGATGTTATAGCATTTTTCATTTTCGATGGGATACTATAAAAATTAGTTGCAGTCGCTGTTAGATTACAAAACCATCTGGAGTGCTAAGGGTTAAAAGATGTTAAATTTAAACCATTGATGTAGTGTTTCTTCCACGATCACCAGCGTTCTGTTTCATCGTTAAAGGTTCCTTGAAGAAGAAAGGAGTTTTATCTCCATCGTTAATCCACGTTAACAACCCTGGTCATCGATAAAATCCCACCCCGTTACAATTCCAAAAAGACATCAACGGCATCCACGCTCCTTTCTGCCGCATTCGACTTTATAAAGCAAGCATTTAATTAACGTTGCGCGCTATGTAGAAATCTAGACACAGAATCACATCGAATTGTTCCTTTGTCTTCACTCGCCCGCGAGAATTACTCGAATTCGTGTACACCAGAGTTAATTAATTGAAAATGGAATCCAACAGCAGCTCTGTCGCTGGCAATAAATATTTTCCCCGAATGAAGAAGAATATTAAACTGGTTGCTGATTCCGTTCAAAAGTCGTATTCGTTGGAAATGGATCAGAATCCGCGATTCGCATATTATTATTCAGCACGAACGAAGAATTCCCTTTCGTCGACGCGGAAAAGGGTAGCGTTCCGATATGATCGACGGAAATAAAAGCGTGACGTCGCCGCTGGAATTCGGAAAGAGAAATATCACCGGCTCAACTCGACAACGACGAATCGCGCGTGTCAGAAACGATGCGTATCCGGCATCTTAAAGATTTACGACCGCGATCTGTCATTTTGAAACAAAAGGATAATAACTGAAAGTGGAAATCACGAGAATATGCGTAAAACGTATTGGTTTGGAAAGTATACTTTGTTTCGAATAGGAAGCGTATATATAAATATTATCACTTAGGGTATCGACTTCAGTTATAAATATTGATGAGTGAAATCATACAGCACGTTTCCGTATGAGTAAAATGTTGGTTGGACAGTGTAAAGTTTCAATTGTTTTTTTAATTTTTAAAGCAGTTTTAGTCAAATGAGTAAAGTCATAGAGTAAGTGTAAGATAATTCAGCTACATTTGTGTAGTTTCCAGTATTTTAACACGTTGGCTACCATAGGACTCACCGGTGCTACCTTCAGTAAAAAAATATTTACTCTGATAACATATGTTTCATTATCTTAAACTTCAATCAGAAAAGCAGGAAAACATTTACTATGGAAAAAGTACAGGATATAAGTTCCTTACATCTAGAAACTTGGTACCTCTTTTTAGTTTCATTTTCACAATACTTTATTTATAGGATTTGTTGGATTTAACGAAATATTGCAATAAAAGTTATTGTAATAGTGGTAGAAAACGTGTTAATTAAACCACCTGACCACGGTTTCCGACAGATGGAAACGAAGACCAAAAATTGTTTCTAAGAGAAAAATTAGTCGTTCGCGGGTGCGAAACGTGTTGAATCGTCGTCGGCAGGTACACTCTGGGGGAGAATAACGGAAGAAGCGATGGGGCAGAGCGCAAATTCAATAACGGCCGACTGACAATTCCATTAGCACGCAATTTCCACGCTGTGCCGGCCTTTTGCAAGGTTTACGTTCCGCGCGGCAGCCCGGCAAAGGATCGCGAGTCGCGGTTCAAAGGGAGTTCAACGGAGATGCACACTTTTTTTATTGTCCTTCGCGTGTTTCCCTTTTTTCCAAGAAAAAGTACGCGTCGCATCGATGATAGAAGAGGAAAGAAAGAGGATCGACGCTGAACAGGGAAGCCGAGACCCAGTACACGCTAGCGTTCAAAATTCTTTTCTTCTTTGTTACACAAATCTTTATAAATTGAATGAGAAAATTTTGATAACCTTGCTAAAGCTTACGATCTCGCTTCTTTAACACGTCCATTATCATAAGAATGTTGAAAGTTCCATACAATATTACTTAATCTTATATAACAATGACGAATCTTATATGAACGCAATCGCTGCCAGCATGAACGATGTGATTCGATTTGTATTTTCAATTCATTTTGCTTTATATTAACACGTTCGCGTTGCTACGGTAATATTACCATGTATTTGGCGTATGGTACACTCTATCGTCGTTTTGGTTATATACGTTTATGTAAAATGCTTTAGTTGGTTTATTCACTATGTTCTAAATGAGTATAAATTACATGAATAACATATCACGTGAAACAATTGTAAGAAAAGCCACGGGCCACGGTATTTCAAATTAGACTGTGGTCACGAACGAGTTGAAATAGATTTGACACGTTGATTACTGGTAGAAAATATGAAAACTTGCCCCATACCTTAAGTAGCTATTATTTATAATACCAATTTGTTTGTTTTACCACATTTATACTTACAGGCTTACTTCGACAGTTTACTGTCATTTTGACAGCAGCTTGTAAACTTGCCATTAGGGTACAACAGTTTCGTTTAACTGCAATACCATAAGAATTAGTTTACTTCTCTAACTGTACACTAGTCACAGAAAAGCTAACATCTAGCAATATTAACTTGTTGACTGTAGAATTTAGCTCTAAAACTCTTTTATTGTGCACGCAATAAAATCAAACAATAAAATGTATATTCGTCAAACGCAACTCGAATGCACCTGTACTATATTCTAACGAAACATTAAAGCAAAACAAAGAAGAATTACACGTTTATCTGAAAAAACAAATAATTCATCGTTAAAAGAATTAATACAATTTTGACGTTTAAGATTATGTGTATACTCATCGAACACAGTTAACTGGTTAAAATGCAACGAAGACGCACGTGTCGACAATCTTAAACATTCTCCCAACCGCGAGTATATCCGAAACTGCCATTGAAATGGGATAGAAAGCTGAGATAAACAAAAATCCGCAGTCTGCTTGTAAACAGTTGCATTCCTCCTGCGACCCGATATTTGATTGAACCATGAGTGAATCGAGATTGAGCTTAAAGGAAGAACATTTCGTCGATAGGGGACAGAGAAATTCCAACGAAACAATTTCTCGTAAAAGGCACCGCGTTCTCGTCGATGTATGTTCGACCTCGTAAACCGCTGAAACTCCGTTGGAATTTGGCACACAAGAAGCCAGCGATAGAGATGCCCCCAAAGGCCGTGGCTGAAAGAATATCCTTTCAGTGACCTTTTCACCTATGACCTCCCTTTTGGCTCTGAGGCTCGATTACGCCGACCGGAAGCCTATCGCGCTAATGGGACACATCCGACACGCTGTCGGCGACAGGACGGCGGAAAGAGAGTAGTGGAAAGGAGTCTAAAGCTCGGGAAACCGGAAAATGGTCGATAGAAACGCAGCTTGTCTTCTGTCTGGCTGGGTAGCTATGTCCGATGGTTTAATGGTTTACTGTTTTCTATCGACATTTAATGATTAATACGTTTGTCATCAGCTTCACATACGTGTGACGATCAATTTTATATCTCGCGTAAAGAGAATATTAGAAAAATATATATAAATCGATACATATCGACGTATTTAACATATCGTATTTTGTTTATTGTTTGGGTAACGATTTTGTTATTGTGATATACTCATATCTTACTTGTTTGTGCCTTTAATAAAAGTATCATTATTTATTGAGAAACCAACAGAAAATTAAATTAGTTTTATATGTGTTACGCGAATTATATTAACAATATCTACCTATCAAAGTTTGAAAACTCGAGGAATTTTTTTGCTAGCGTATTGTAGATTAGATATCTTATTGCCAATCAGGCTTAGTAACTAGCTATACTTTATCATTAAATATTCGTTATTTACTTATGATTCGACTAAAGCAAGTTTTTAAAAAATTCGAAACTTTTACTGGTTGAAATACAATAAATATTAAAATATAAAATACTTGTTATCTATCTACTAAAATCTTTTGGAATAATTAATTAAACAACATTCGTTTTGCACCTATTATCGATGAAATACTCAAATGATCCTAATTCCTTCTTATAGCTCAGAGAACTACTTGCATTCGAAGCTTGCACGAATGTAATAATCGTCACAGATCGTCGAGGATCGATTAGTCACCTCGAGAAATTAGGGTCTAGTGTATGTTCAAAGTTATCGATGAAATTTCACTCAAGAAAGACTACCCTTATTTACCTTGACTACATGTCTGATCGCGGGGGTGAATCTTTCGTTCACAGGGTGCCGCGTTTCCCTCGAATGTCTAATTACCTCAGGTAATCGATTTGCGGTGCATCTGCGCGCATCGACCCACGAAACCACCGGCCTGTCGGACACCTGTCCGTAAACTGGATGGATGTGTCGCGTAGATGGACATCCAAAAACAACGAACCAAGAAAGATTGGTTTACCTTTGTGAACTACACGAAAATGATCGTTTCAATCTAATATGATCTGATAAAATAATGACGAAAGTTTTTGAAATCGAACTTCGAAAGCATCTGTTTATCTTGTATTTTACTTTTGAACTCTTTATTACTTTGAAATGGGAAATATGAAATTTGGAAGGTTGAAATTTGAAAGATTGAAATGTGAATGATTAGAATTTGAAAGGTTGAAATTTGAAGGATTGAAATGTAAATAGTTGAAATTTGAAAGATTGAAATTTAAAGGATTAAAATGTAAAAGGTTGAAATTTGAAAGGATGAAATTTGAAGGATTGCAATTTGAATATGTATTTTACTTTCATCATTGGAAAAAATACGAAACCGAAAGCTGCGAATTTTTTAAATTCCACATGTATCGCAAACACAATATTTATTTGCTACATTTGTTTACAATCATATGCCCTTAAATAAACCGCACCGTTGCACGTATCCGCAATCAGAATTTGTCAGAAATATTATACGCCATTTGCATATTTAGAGACGGCACGTTTGTTTCAAACCGATTAATCGACAATTCAC